CTCTGTGGTACAACTTTCAGGGTGTGAATCTAAACTCTGACAGTTACTAACCTCACAGTGGAATTCAGATTCCACTGGTGAAACCAGAATACAAATACTACAAGAAGCGGCTATCTCAATTATCAAGTAAGATAACCTACATGAAAGATAATGATACATAACAGTTGCTTCATGTGTTAGCTGTTATTATTAAAGATCAATTACATTACATGCCGATTAATCCATTTTCAGAAAAGAAACACAAGGCTGTTGTTTTTTTCTTATGCTAAAATGTCAGTCAGCTATCAATATCATGAATGCCAACTAAAAATAGCTTTCCAAGCCTGATGTTAAGCATGAATTTATTTTAATCAGCACAATTACCAAAAATGATTCTAAAACACATAAGAAAATGTTCTCTCTACCAGCAACCAGGGAAACAGAGGCATGATTCTGCATCAGAAATCAAGTTTAAAGACTCTAATATAAAAAGAGATACCAAACTGAGAATATTAGCAAGAGAATGAATCATGTATTCTATGTGATACGGGAGATTTATGTAATTATTTCAAATTATTGCCATCTTAGTCATTTCATATATTTGGATTTCATATCTTGGATTTGTTACCTACACATGTAATCATGGAAATGTTACTTGTATAGTCTATATTTGTAAGGCAACAGACATCACTGATTATCATTTTCTGTCAAAGAAACATTAAGATCACAGAAAATCTAATTCTGAAAGCCTCTCTTTCTTGATAATTTGCAGTCATTAGTTTGAAATGGCATATCTCGAATCCTGTAAGATGTAAACACGAGGTTTTTCAAAGCAAGAGAAAGATAACTGGCATGCCTCTCTCCACATGTACACAAATGTAATGTGACCCATGGCTGGGTTGGAATTCTTTTGCAAACTATGACTTAAAGAGTCTTTAACTCTTACTTGGTATATTCTCAGGAGTTTTTGGTAAAATAAATAAATAAATAAATAAAAATAAAGAGTCTTTAACTCATTTACATGATCAATTAGCAGGATTTAATGCTCCAGAAACAAACACACACACGTTTCGTCGGGAGTGGGAGACAGGACACGTAGACAGAAAATGTTAAGTGAGTATCTCTGGGTGGAACAATTGGGAGTAATTTTGAGTTTCTTCTTTATGAGCTCTTACGGGAACGAACTTTTCTTATAGCAGGCCTGCATGAAGTGCATTATAAGAAATATAAAAAACAGGGATCTGGGAAAAAAAATAAAAAACAAAAACAAACAAACAAATAAATAAATAAAAGAAATATAACTTAAGGAAGTCCTGAATGTAAAAAAAAAAAAATGATTACTTGGGCTGGGCACAGTGGCTTATGCCTGTAATCCCTGCACTTTGGGAGGCCAAGGTGGATAGATTGCCTGAGGTCAGGAGATTGAGACCAGCCTGACCAATATGGTGAAAACCCATCTCTACTAAAAATACCAAAATTAGCCGACCACGGTGGCATGCACCTGAAGTTCCAGCTACTCGGGAGGCTGAGGCAGGAAATCACTTGAACCTAGGAGGCGGAGGTTGCAATGAGCCAAGATGGTGCCACTGCACTGCAGTCTGGGCAACAGTGACACTTCAGCTCCAGAAAAATAAAAATAAATTTAAAAACGATTACTCAAGGTAAAAGATATCAGAGTTATGAAGGTGCTGGTACCCTGTAGTTATTAAGAAATGTTTGAATGGATAGGCTTGTGGAAAGCAAAATAGGTGTATCTCAAAAATGTCCATACCCTAATTCATGAATGCGGGCACATGTGGTGCTGCAGGGCAAGGGAAATTTCAGTGATAGATGGACTTAAGTTGCTACTCAGCTCCCCTTAAGACGGGGAGATTATCCTGAATTGTGCCAGTGTGCCCACGGTAATCATAGAGTCATCAGAAGTAGATGAGGTGGGTCAGAAGAAGAGAAATAGGTAATGACAGGGGCAGATATGAAGAAAGGTGATGTGAGAATGATTTGTCTGTGTTGGCTTTGATGACACAGAGTTGGGGGGACCCAAGGAATGCCAGCCTCTAGAAGCCAGGAAAGGAAGGAAACAGAAAGGCTCCTAAAGTCTGCGAAAAGGAACACAGCCTTTATATCTCGGTTTTAGCCCTATGAGACCTACTTGACTTCTGATGGCTTAAGATAAATTTTGTTGTTTTAAACTACTAAATCTGACGGTTTGTTACAGCACAGAAAGAAACTGACACTAAGCCTAATATTGAAAAACCAGAGTGACTGAAGCAAATGTCACCTCCCTGATTGTGAAGATCCTTTCGCTATGTCTTGGCAATACTTATGAAATGAGGCAAAAGCAGTTCTAATAGGGAACTTTAAAGCAGTAAACATCTACCTTAAAAAAGAAAGCCTCAAACAACCTAACATCACTCCAAAATGAACTAACAAAAGAATAAACTAAGCCTGAAGTAGTGGAACAAAGTTAATAACTAAGGTAAAAGCAGAAATAAATGAAAGAGTGGGACAGCAACAGGAAAACATCAGTGCAACTGAGAGTTTGGTTTTTTTAAATATAAACAATTCACAAATGTTTAACTAGACTAACAATGAAAGAATGAGAGAATATTCAAACTAAAAAATAGGAAATAAGAGACATTACAATTCATACTACAGCAAAACAGAGGACCACAAGTAACTACTATGAAAATTTATATGCCAAAAAATTGAATAATGTAGAAGAATTGAACAAATTCCTAGTAATATACAATCTACCAAGATTGAATCATGATGAAATACAAAATCTGAACACACCCACAACAGGTAAGGAGGTTGAATAAGCAAATCTGTCCCATGAAAAACCAGGATCTGAGGCCCTCACTGCTGAATTCTACCAAACATTCAAAAACCTAATACAACGCTTCTCAAACTCTTCCAGAAAATTCAAGAGAAGGGACTAGCTGCAACCTCATTTTATAAGACCAGCCTGACCAGACCCCAACAAGGACACTGCAAGACAAGAAAAATTAGCAGCCATACTTTTGCTGGACATAAAAGCAACCATCCTCCTCAGCAAAATACTAGCAAAATGAGCTCAGTAGCATATAAAAAGGATCATTCACCATGATCCAGTGGGATTTACCCCAGGAATGCGAGTCTAGTTCAACATATACAAATCTATAAATGTGATATAGCACATTAACAGAATGAATAGTAAGACCCACACGATCATCACAATAGATGCAGAAAAAGCATCTGACAAAATTCAAAAGTGTTTCCTAATATAAACTCTCAACAGATTCGGCACAGAGAAATGTACCTCAAGATAATAAAGGTGATTTAACTAACATCATAATCAATGGTGAAAAGTTGAAAGATCAGGAACGAGACGAGGATTCCCACTCTTACCACATCTAATCAATGTAGTACTAGAAGCCTTAGGCAGAGCAATTAGGCAAGAAAAGAAATAAAATCGGCTGAGTGCAGTGACTCATGCCTGTAATCCCAGCACTTTGGGAGGCTGACACGGGTGGATCACTTAAGGTCAGGAGTTTGAGACCAGCCTGGCCAACATGGCAAAATCCCATCTCTACTAAAAACACAAAAATCAGCTGGGTATAGCAGTGTGTGCCATAATCCCAGCTACTTCGGAGGCTGAGGCAGAAGAATTGCTTGAACCCAGGAGGCGGAGGTTGCAGTAAGCTGAGATTGTGCCCCACTGCACTCCAGCCTGGGTGACAGAGCGACACTCCATCTCAAAAAAAAAAAAAAAGAGAAGAAATAAAAGCCAATCAAACAGGAAGGGAAGAAGTTCTTATACATATAGAAAACCCTAAAAACTCCATCAAAAAATAATTAGAAATAATAAAGGAATTCAGTAAAGTTATAGTAGCAACATCAACATTAAAAGATCAGTAATATCTCTATACACTAACAATTATTTGAAAAAGAAATCAAGGCTGGGCATGGTGGCTAACAGGCAAATGAACTGCATCCAGTTAAAAAACTTCTGCACAGTAGATCAATCAGAAGAGTGAAGAGAGAACCTATGTATTTGAAGGAAATACGTGCAAACCATACATCTGATAAGCAGTTAATATTCACAATATATAAGAAACACACAACTCAAGAGTGTGAAAAAAAAGTGATTAAAAATTAGGCCAAAGGCAGGGCACAGTGGCTCCCATTTGTAATACTAGCACTTTGGGAGGCCAAGGTGAGATCACTTGAGGTCAGGAGTTCAAGACCAACCTGGTCAACATGGTGAAACTCCATCTCTACTAAAAATACAAAAATTAGTCAGGCATGGTGGCATGCACTTGTAATCCCAGCTACTCAGGAGGCTGAGGCAGGAGAATCACTGGAACCCAGGGGGTGGAGGTTACAGTGAGCCAAGATTGTGCCATTGCTCTCCAGCCTGGGTAAACAAGAGCAAAACTCCGTCTCAAAATAATAATAATAATAATAATATGTATATGTAGTATATTTGAAAATTGCTAAGAGAGTATCATTTAAATGTTCTCATGACAAAAATAATTACTGAGGTGATGTATATGTTCATCAGCTTGATTTAATCATCTTATAATGTATACATATATCTAAACACACAATAAATCAATTTGTCATTTGCCAATTATTTAAAAATTTTTAAAAATTAACCATGTTCAGAAACGACAACTACCATAATAAAAAAAATAAACAAAAGACTAAAGATATCTGGTGTTTCCTTCCATCCAAAATCAAATCCCTTCCTTAGCAAGCCACACTGTAATATAAAGTGCCAGAATTAATCTCTTCTACACCATTAGACTTGTAGACAAGCAGAGTACACAGGACTTGAACCGTTTGACAAGCAGGTAGGTGACTACTTAGAGAAGAGGGTGGGTCAATGGAGACTACGCGTTGGAATGACCTGCAGGGCCCTGTCATATCCGGGGAGGAATTGGGATAAATGGCTATGAGGAAGGATATGTGCCACAGGAAAGTAAATGGTCCTAAGTTGTATAAACACAAATCACTAAATAAACAAAAAGGTAACTCACTGCAACTTGGCTTTAGGACGGATAACAGTTCTTCCTCCTCCGGGATGCTTTTCTTGACAGCCAGATGGCCTGCGGGGGGGCGGGGGGTGGGTTAGGAAGATCAGAATGAGGCACCAGGACCTTTCTGGATCACAAGTTATGTTAGAAAATAGGGCACACCCACCCTCAGGTCACAGTTAAAATCCATCAGAAATAAGAGGGCACAGGGATCTGAGTTTTTCAGAGAAATGCTGGGAGACTGGCCTTTCTAGGAACTGGGGTTCTGAAACATGGAGCTGCCCCTCTCACCACCTCCCACGTAGTACCTCTTTCTTCCCCAAAAGGAATTCTACTCCTGAGGTTACTTCCTCTTGTTTCTGCATGGAGAGCTCTTCTGGCTCCAAAATTGCCATCTCGTGGCTACTTGTGAACTCTTCCTCCTGGTCATTTTCACAACAGCGTCGAGGCTCTCACGTCACTTTGGGACCACTGCTCTCTAGCAAGCACCACATGGTCGGAAGGCGAAGGCACAGCAAGCAGCGGAGACACTAGAAATACAGATGACACAGTCGCACACACCGGTGCTCACTCGTCCAAGCACACAGGCCCGATCCCGACCTGTCACAGCCGCACCCTCGCTGGCCCTTTCACACCCACAAACTGCCTGTCCCCGTCAACCCGACAGAAGTGCAGAAGCACATTTCAGAGACACGGAGACCCGTCCTGGCCGTGCCACCCTCGCAGAGCCCACCGGCATTGACCTCACACGGAGTGGAGGTGCAGAGAGACCCAGTCTGGCTGCGACACCCCTACAGGTGCCCTTACAGCCCGGCCCTATGGCCCTCATAGACGTCCACACACCTTGTGTCACAGTTTATGGGTACAGAGCCCCGCCGTGTTAACCCCGCATGCATCACAGCGATGGGAACCGGGGCTGGTTCTCATTACCCCAGAGACGCTCACATTCACTTAACTCAGTCACTGGGCCACGGCGGGGCGGGGGGACCCGCCAGGCAACACACACACAAACTCTCACAAGCGCGCGCGCGCACACACACACACACACACACTCTCGCACTTCCCTGCCCGCCCCTTCTGAAGCCTCAGGCAGAAGCTCCTTCATTTTAGGGTCTCCTCATCCCAAGTGGCTCCCTCACCGCCATTCCCCGCGGAACCCCGCCCTGGCTTTCTCCTGAAAGGCAAATATCTCCCGGCTCGGGGCCTAACCACACCCAGGACAGGAGGAGATGAAACAGGGCCTCAGGCGCAGTCGTGACAAGGTCTGGGGGCAACCATTTTTAAAAATTCCGCGAGGATGAAGCACGCCCCTCAGCCGGCGATCTGGCTTGCTCTTCATTGGACTGTGCCCTAAAGGCCTCTGGGAAATGAAGTCCGTAACCCGGGAATCCACAGAGTTGGAAGCGGCAGTCAGGGTTTCCCAGCATGCAACTCAACACGGTCTTAATGACGCCATGCCTTGAGGCTTCTGGGAAATGTAGTCCATAACCCGGGAATCGACGTAGCTGGAAGGGGGCCCATCAGTGTTTCGCAGTATGTAAGTGGACACGGCCCTAATGGAGCCGTGCCCCAGAGACCGCTGGGAAATGCTCACTGCGCGGGAATCCTCAGCGTTAGAAGCGCGGCTCTCAGAAAGCGCTTAGTCGGTGTCTCTTCCCACTGTTAGAGCAGCTGCGCCTCATAGACTTCAGGGGAAGCGTATTTCAGATTGGGAGAATCCTCAAATGCTGGAAGCCGTTGGCTTTCTCCCGTCCTGAAACCTCTGCTCCTAAAGAGCAACCACAAAAAAGTCCTGGGAAAAGTGATTAAGGCCTGGGAGCCTACAGTTCTAATTGCTCCCAACTTGCATTTGGGATCCGTCTGTAGGGGAGGCATGACCCCGCGGCCTTCTGGGAAATGTAGTCTGCAACGCCCAGAAATCACACCTGTAATCCCAGCACTTTGGGAGACAGAGGTCAGGAGTTCGAGACCCTCCTGGCCAACATGGTGAACCCCCCCCGCGCCGCTACTAAAAATGCAAAAATTAGCCAGGCGTGGTGGCAGGCGCCTGTAATCCCAGCTACTTGGAAGGCTGAGGGAGGAGAATCGCTTGAACCTGGGAGGCAGAGGTTGCAGTCAGCCGAAATTGCGCCGCTGCACTCCAGCCTGGGCAACAAGAGCAAAACTCCTTCTCAATAATAATAATAATAATAACAATACGCCCAGAAAGCTTAGAAGTTCTGATTTGGGAAAAGTTCAAAAATTTCCCAGCTGCTGTGCCTCCTCCAGACGGTTCTTGGAAATACAGCCCCAAGCTGGAAATGCCTCTAGAAAGTGTTAGGTAGGATGTTCACACGTGAGATTTTGGGGGGCATTTCAGTACTGCCCATCCCCCACCCCCACAGTAGATTGGGGGGGTCCAGACGTGTGTACGGATCTTGAGTAGGTTCTATGGGAGTGACCCGGTCCTGACATGCTCTGTGCCAAGGCTCTCTCTGTGCGGGCAGGACTATGTGTTTTGTTCTCTGATGCTGTCCCTCTCTTGAGAGCACTGCCTGACTCTTCGAATATCTCTGTGAGTGTCATCTCGACACTGCCCCTGTGATCGTGACCTGGCCTTTGGTCGATTCTGTTGGTGATGTAGGTTCTACCTGTGAGATTGTTTCCTGGGTGTTAAGTTTTCAAGGAAAGGCAAGGGTTAAAGACACGCGCGCGCACATACACACACACACACACACACACACACACACACACACACACAATGGCTGGACAGCAACACAGGCATATTGCAGATACTTCAGAAGTGAGGGGCCAGCTTGATACCAGAGTCTGCTCTGGCTTACAGGTTGGGGTAGGTATGGGCAGAAGGGGCCTGAGCAGTGTGGCTCGCTGCTGGGCAGGATATTGACAAGATGTTTTTATGATCAGGCGGTTTGGCCCTTTTTCCGCTGGGATGTCATCTGGGTGTTCCTTGAACCTTTGTCCAGCAAGATATTATAGGGATTTTTTTTTTTTAAGTTGGGCTTTGCCTGGTAGGGTATGATGAGAATGTTTCTTTTATTGGGTCGTTTTCTGCCTTGTGGTCAGCTAGTGGGGCAGGATGTTTCTCACGGCCCCAGCCCCCATGGAATGTTTCACTCTGACCAAGTCTGCAGAATAGCAGGGGGCTTACAAAAGGGTGCGATTTAGACTAGCACTGGGGTGTGAGATGCTTTGTCCGAAAACATATATGCAGTTGTTGGAATAGAACTCACCAGTGGCTGTGACTGATTTGAGATTGAGTGGGCTTATCAGGGACCCTCCTGGAGTTGAGGCAATGGAGGGTGCCTGTGAGGTTTTTGGTCTTGATTATGCCATGGATGAGATTGGATTTTTTTTTTTTTTTTTTTGAGACGGAGTTTCGCTGTTGTTACCCAGGCTGGAGTGCAATGGCGCGATCTCGGCTCACCGCAACCTCTGCCTCCTGGGTTCAGGCAACTCTCCTGCCTCAGCCTCCTGAGATTGTGTGTTTTTATGAACATGTGGCTAAGACTATGGTATAAAGCACCTTGACATATGTAACTCCACCTTAGAAAAAGACTGTCTTGCATTCCACAGGATACTTTCCAACAGGGACAAGATGTTTTGCTTAATAAACAAACAATAAAGACTGCATCCAGCCAGACTAGGACATAAACAAGCACATTCTTCCTCTATCAGTCCCTCCCAGAGGACTCTTCCCATAAAAACAGCAGGGCTTCAGCAGCTTGAAATGACCATCTTCACTGAGAACTGTCCTGCTGTCGTTGGCGATAAAAACTTGGCATCTGCTGCTAAGGCCTCTGCCCACATCAAAGACTTCTCTTTGCGAGACTGAGACCGGATGGGCCTGCCCAGCCCTGACCAGGACATTCTTTTTTTTCTTTGGTGCTGTCCCTAGATTGAGTTATTAACCCTTTCTCCTGTGTCTTTTCTCTTGATGTTAAACATTACTTTGTTTATTGTGAAATGTTTAATCTGTCACATTTATATCTATCGAGTACACTCCTATGTGTGGTCTGCCATATTGACTGACTTGTGAAGTGGCTTGAGCCCGGGTGCCTGCGGCTCTCACTGTGCAGTGAGGGGAGTATGGAAGAGAATTGCCGTGTACGAGTCAGTGTTCTCCAGAGGGACAGAACTGATAGGATGTATGTACATGTTACATACGTACAAGGGAGTTTGGTAGGGAGAGTCGCTTCCACCATCACGAGGCGGAGTCCCATGATAGGCCATCTGCAAGCTGAGGAAGAAAGAAGCCGCGAGTGGCTAAGCCCAAGTCCAGAACCTCAGAAGCAGGGAAGCCAGGCATGCGGCCTTGAGCCTGTGGCCGAAGGCCCGAGAGCTCCCAGCAAACCAGCCGTGTAGGTCTAAGAGTCCAAAGGCCAAAGAACCCGGAATCTCATGTCCAAGGGCAGGAGGAGCCGAAGGAAGCATCCAGCACAGGAGAAAGACCAAAGCCAGAACGCTCAGCAAGCAAACGTATCCCACCTTCTTCTGCCTACTGTGTTCTAGCCGAGCTGGCAGCCCATTGGATAATGGCCACCAACACTGAGTGGGGGCTTCCTCTCTCCAACCACTGACTCAAGTATCAGTCTCCTCTGGCAACACCCTCGCAGCCGCCCCAGAAACAATCTTTTGCCAGCCACCTGGGCTTCCCGCAATCCAGTGAGGTCGATACCTAATGTTAGCCATCACGTGCCTCTTGGGGAACCCCACGCAGCTCATGCTGTGGTTGAAACAGCATCAATAAAAGCCTGCCGTCGTGGAAAGATGCAAAGTACGTGGACCGGGTTATCTCTGACTGTAAGCCACTCTTGGGAACGGCGCGGTCGGCAGATCTGAAACTGCACGGGGAGAGTGATGAAGACATAGAGAGTCTCCTGGCCTGGGCAAATCTGTTGGTCCCACAAGAAAGACTCTTTGATGTGGGTAGAAAGTTTGGCAGCAGATGTCAAGTGCTTATCACGAATGACAGCGGGATGGTCGTCAGTGAGGACGGTCATTTAGAGCTGCTGAAGCCCTGATGGTTTTATGGCCAGAGTCCTCTGAGGAGGACTGATAGTGGAAGAATGTGCTTGTTTATGTCCTTATCTGGTGGGATGCAGTCTTTATTAGTTACTTACCAAGAGAAACATCTTGTCTCTGTTGCCAAAGTGCCCTATGAAATGTAAGATGGAGTCTTTTTCTTTTTCTTCTTCTTTTTTTTTTTTTGAGACGGAGTTTCGCTCTTGTTACGCAGGCTGGAGTGCAATGGCACGATCTCGGCTCACCGCAACCTCCGCCTCCTGGGTTCAGGCAATTCTCCTGCCTCAGCCTCCTGAGTAGCTGGGACTACAGGCACGCGCCACCATGCCCAGCTAATTTTTGTATTTTTAGTAGAGACGGGGTTTCACCATGTTGACCAGGATGGTCTTGATCTCTTGACCTCGTGATCCACCCGCCTCGGCCTCCCAAAGTGCTGGGATTACAGGTGTGAGCCACTGCGCCCGGCCTGTTTTTTAATTTTTAAATAACAAAGAAGAATAAAAAATGATGACAGTTTAAATCAATCCAAAGTCAGCGATCAAGAAGCAGCCGCTGCTCTGTCCCTTTTACAAGCTGGGAAGAGTTCGCTTCCGTTTTCTCGTGCTGCTTCGGGGCCTGGGTAACTATGTTTAAAAACCTCTGGACTACAGATGTAACTTTCCACCTGGACTGAGGTTTAGAGCGGAGAGTCAGGAAGTCAGGGACCCTCCTGGATGTTGGGTGAGGCATCATTATCTTTTAAATCTCTGAACAAGAAAGTCGACTCAGAAAACACAAGTACTCAAAAAAAAAAAAAAAAGAAAGAAAAGAAAAGAGAAAACACAAGTACTCTGTTTAAGAGTCTCCCGTTTATCCTTCAGAAACTATTTGCATTTTTTAAAACCATAGGCAATAAATACTATTTTTGGGGGGGGATGGAGTCTCCCTCTGTCACCCAAGCTGGGGTGCAATGGTGCAATCTCAGCTCACTGCAACCTCTGCCTCCTGGGTTCAAGCCTCCCAGGTAGCTGGGATTACAGGCACCTGCCACCATGCCTAGCTAATTTTTGTATTTTTAGTAGAGACAGGGTTTCACCATGTTAGCCAGGCTGGTCTCGAACTCCTGACCTCAGTGATCCATCCGCCTCAGACTCCTAAAGTGCTGGGTGTGAGCCACCACGCCCGGCCATAAATACAGATTTTTATGAGCAGTCTAAAATGCAACACAAGCCTGGCACATCTTAGTAAGGACCTGGTTTCCATGTGGCAATTTGTTCCCTTTGAATATGTAAATACTTTCTGTTTAATCTAAAAGATTTTTTTTTTTACTCTAGAATGTGGTAGTTAGCAAATGATGAGCAGTAGGTGGATGTGGGAGTTAAGGATTTCTTTTCTACCTTAGTTCCAAGAAATATATCAAATGTCCACAAGGAGGATTGTTTCTAATGAGTGTTTTGTCCTTTTTTCTGTGAGATGCCCTTTCTGGTGCCACTAGAAGTGTTTTTTGTTTGTTTTTTGTTTTTGAGGTGGTCTCACTCTGTCACCCAGGCTGCAGGCTGAAGTGCAGTGGCACGATCTCAGCTCACTACAACCTCCACCTTCTGGGTTCAACTGATTCTCCTGCCTCAGCCTCCCAAGTAACTGGAATTATAGGCACCTGCCACCACATTTAGCTAATTTTCGTATTTTTAGTTAGAGACGGGGTTACACCACGTCACCCAGACTGGTCTTGAACTCCTGACCTCAGGTGATCTGCACACCTTGGCCTCCCAAAGTGCTGGGATTACAGGCGTGAGCCACCGCACCTGGCCTAAGTGGCTGCTTTTTTTTTTTTGAGACAGAATTTCACTCTCGTTACCCAGGCTGGAGTGCAATGGTGCGATCTCGGCTCACCGCAACCTCCGCCTCCTGTGTTCAGGCAATTCTCCTGCCTCAGCCTCCTGAGTAGCCGGGACTACAGGCACGCGCCACCATGCCCAGCTAATTTTTTGTATTTTTAGTAGAGACGGGGTTTCACCATGTTGACCAGGACGGTCTCAATCTCTTGACGTCGTGATCCACCCGCCTCGGCCTCCCAAAGTGCTGGGATTACAGGCTCGAGCCACCGCGCCCGGCCTAAGGGGCTTCTTTATAGCTAATGCTACTCAGACCTTCTCGTGGGTCATCATGATATTCAACAACACTGCTTTTATCAGTATCACGGAAACCATTGTTTTCACTGGGAATAGTCTGTGTTCAACCCTCATAAATGCACCTGGAAGCCCTCAGGCTGGACTTGGCCTTACCCTAGAATCACCTGGGTAGTTAATTGAAACCACATCGATGCCCCCCCCCCAACCAGACCAATAGATAGAAGCTATGGGGAGGACACAAGTGACGGTAATAATGAACACGACCATTTGCTTTTAATTGGAAGCCTGGGCCAAGAGTCCCTAAGCTAAGCACTAACTCTCAAGCTTTAAGGTGAATATAAATCATCTGGCATTCCACAGCCCACTGTAATAATTTTGATTCTGCAGGTTTGAGGTAGCATTTCCTTTATAAACTGGCATCTTTTTTTTTTTTTTGAGACAGAGTTTCGCTCTTGTTACCCAGGCTGGAGTGCAATGGCGCGATCTCGGCTCACCGCAACCTCCACCTCCTGGGTTCAGGCAATTCTCCTGCCTCAGCCTCCCGAGTGGCTGGGACTACAGGCATGTGCCACCATGCCCAGCTAATTTTTGTATTTTTAGTAGAGACGGGGTTTCACCTTGTTGACCAGGAGGGTCTCGATCTCTTGACCTCGTGATCCACCCGCCTCTGCCTCCCAAAGTGCTGGGATTATAGGCATGAGCCACCGTGCCCGGCCTAAACTGGCATCTTTAACAAGTTCGCTGTTAATGCCAATGTTGCTCCCCTAGGGACCCACTGTCAGTAGCACTGAGCTACAGAAGGCATCCCCAGAATGCCAGAGCTCCTTACACCCAAATACCTGATCTCAGCACAGATGCTGTTGGTTCCCAGGGGAGACCATAAACCACAGTCTTGAAAATTCACATTTTAGGCCCGGCGCAGTGGCTCAAGCCTGTAATCCCAGCACTTTGGGAGGCTGAGGCAGGTGGATCACGAGGTCAAGAGATCGAGACCATCCTGGTCAACATGGTGAAACCTTGTCTCTACTAAAAATACTAAAAATTAGCTGGGTGTGGTGGTGCACGCCTGTAATCCCAGCTACTCAGGAGGCTGAGGCAGGAGAATTCCCTGAACCCAGAAGGCGGAGGTTGTGGTGAGCCGAGATCGTGCCATCACACTCCAGCCTGGGTAACAAGAGCAAAACTCCGACTCAAAAAAAAAAAAAAAGAAATATAACTTAGTGATATTGGGGCATGATAATGGGAGAAAATATTTTAAGCCATATATACCATACCTGTGATAAGGAGTTTATATCCAAAATATATAAGGAACTCCCACAACTCAAAAGCAAATATGGTAATAGTAATAAACCTATTAAAAATGAGCAAAGGGGCTGGGCGAGGGGAATCACACCTGTAATCCCAGCATTTTGGGAGGCCGAGGCAGGCGGATCACCTGAGGTCAGGAGTTTGAGACCAGCCTGGCCAATATGGTGAGACCCCATCTCTACTAAAAACACAAAAATTATCTGGGCGTGATGGCACGTGTCTGTAATTCTAGCTGCTCAAGAGGCTGCGGCAGGAGAATTGCTTGAACCCACGAGGCGGAGGTTGCCGTGAGCTGAGATTGCACCACTGCACTCCAGCCTGGGCGACACAGTGAGACCCTGTCTCAAAAAAAAAAGTGAGCAAAGGGCCTGAATAGACGTTTTTCCAGAGAGGACAATGGAATGACTAAGAGGCATATGAGGCGGTGTTGAACGTCACTAATCATCAGGAGAATGGGAACTAAAACCACAGTGAGGTATCCCTTCAAGTCTTACGACCGCTATGATTAAAAAGACGAGAGATAACAAGTGTTGGTGAGGATGTGGAGGAAGAAAAGCCCTTGTACACTGTTGTTGGGACAGTCGATTGGCAGAGCAATTTTTTTTTAAACATTATAAAAAACATGGAGTTTCCTTAAAAGTTAAAATCTAATTTTACTCAAAACAATATGAAAATTAAAATTCTTTTTTTTTTTTTTTTTTGAGGCAGAGTTTCCCTCGTTACCCAGGCTGGAGTGCAATGGCAGGATCTCAGCTCACCGAAACCTCCGCCTCCTGGGTTCAGGCAATTCTCCTGCCTCAGCCTCCCGAGTAGCTGGGACTACAGGCACGTGCCACCATGCCCAGCTAATTTTTGTATTTTTAGTAGAGACGGGGTTTCACCATGTTGACCAGGATGGTCTCAATCTCTTGACCTCGTGATCCACCCGCCTCGGCCTCCCAAAGTGCTGGGATTATAGGCATGAGCCACCGTGCCCGGCCTAAAATTCTTTTTAATTTTAAAAATCAAAATGAGCATGCAGTCCAGCAATCCTGCCTCGGAGTATGTGTCTGAAGGAAATGAGAGTTTCCAAGAGCTGTCTGCACCGCCATGCTTTCTGCAGCGTCGCTCACCTTAGCCAAGGCACGTCAGCAGTACGAGTGTCCTTCACGGATGCATGGATAAAGATGTTGTGAGATAGACGGAGGGACAGATTTCCCAGCGGCTGAGAGGGTTTTGGAGGTCCTGACACCCGGAGGAATTGGGGTCCGAAGAGGATGCCGCCTCATTTCATCACCAAAGCTGAGGATGTGTGGAAGGAAGAGGCCAGCGGGGCTCATCTGCAGGCGCCTGGTGAGATTCTGGAGTAGGGTCCGTGAGAACGACTCTGGCGAGTCTCTCAACCACGTGCTTCCTTAGCAGAGAACTGTCTAGATTAGCAGTTCCCAGCGTCCTTGGCACCAGGGACTGGTTTCATGGAAGGCCATTTTTCCACAGACGGGAGTTGGGGCGGGGAGGGGGACGGTTTCAGGATGAAACTGTTCCGCTTCAGATCACCAGGCATTAGTTTCTCATAAAGAGCTTGCAACCCAGACCCCTCCCATGCCCAGTTCACAGAAGGGCTCACACTCCCCTGAGATCCACGGCCGCTGCCGATGTCACAGGTGGCAGAGCTCAGGTGGCCACGCTCACTCACCCACCACTCCCCTCCCGCTATGCAATCCAGTTCCTCACAGGCCACCAGCGGGGACCGGTTCACAGCCCAGGGGTTGGGGATCCCTGGTCTAGATTAGTGCAGCTTGACCTCACAAAAGAACAAAAACCCTCTGAATCAAGCAGACCCATGATGCCCACCTTAAGCGGCCCCCGAAGGCCCTCACTGGGTAAGGGCAGTAAGCAGCCCACGTCCTGCTCCCCAGGAGACCACTTTCCATCACTTCAGAAAAGCCTGGGGATCTCCCTTCACTCTATGTCTGAGGCCATTTGTGAAGACGTAGTTCAGGTGCAGATTCAGCAGGCACATTCCTCCGCTGACTCCAGGGCAGCTTTCTCACCTAGCTCGGGCACCTCTGTGGCCCTGGGTGCAGATCTTCCAGGCCTTGGCTACCCAGGCACCTGTGTCTTCCCTGCTGAGGGCTGCTTCTCGCAGCCCCTCCCAGGGGCCCCTCCCTGGATGAAGGAGAAGCTCAGAGCTCCTCCCAGGATGGAGAGAGGCCCACCTCTTCCCCACACACTCCTCGCTAGAATCTCATGCCTGCATCACAGAGGGAGGGAACAGTCCCAGTGGATTCTTCAGGGTGACGTGGAGACCAAACGCTCAGGAACTCACAGCACCTGCCATGCCATCTGGCTTAACTGACTCCGACACATCATGGCCCAACATGACTTCCAGCAAGACTGTTCTCTGGGACTCACAGAGGTGATGACGAGAGACAAAACACGATGAATGTCCCCGCATGCCTCAGAGCTCCTAGGACCTCAGTCCGCTGCTCCCCAGGTTTAAGGTGATCACTCTCCCTCTCCCTCCACAGGATCAGTCAGTCCCATCCCGGTACCTGTCATTACACCTTTATCCTCATCATCCCTTACTGTCTCCAAGACACTTGTCCATAGCAGCAAGGTGAAACAGAGATAGAGACTTCTGTGTAAACCTTAATCGCAACTAACTCCGAGTCCCATAAACTCACTGTTAGCTGGGCTGCCAGTCAGACCGTGGGCAAAGTAGGCCAGCCTGGGGTTGCTGTTCAGAGAAAGAATGGCATACGGTGCCCAGGAATGGTCAGAGGGAGAAATCTCACATTTTGGAAGCAGATTCCCAGCCCCCAGTGATTTCATCCTGATCCTGGAGGCTGTCAGGAAGAGACCATTGCTTTTGGAGACAGCCACATGCAGCCAACAAATTGCCTAAACACCATTTACGGATCAAGCGGGGAGAAAAGGAAGTCACATCAGACAGTTGGCCCATTTTTAGTAGATTTAGTGACTAAAGACTCAGTATGTCAGAGGGCAAACGGTCCCAGAAGGTGGCATGAATGAGTTTCAAGGGACATGTGGTGTGGCCGGAGTCAGCTGGCGTGATGCTGAAGGTGGCACCCGTGGTGAGGCAGGCTGGACACCTCCAGAAGTGGGTCAGAAGTCCAACGCACTCATTCTGCCAGGAATGGTCTGGGGACTCCCCAGCTGTGACTAGAAACAGATCAACTCTCAGCAAGAACCACAAGCCTGGCCCGCAGTGACAGGCTCTGCAGGAGACAGATTCAGGCTCTGTTCAGAGCCTGAGGACGGCCAGATGCTTCAGGCCCTCACCACAGACTCCTAAATGAGGGCTGCGACTGTCAGATGAGCAGAGATTGTTTCCAGTTTGCAGCCTCCAAGAGGGCGTGCTTCATCAGTCTCTACTTTTGAATGCGGATGAACCGCCTCTAGAACCTCGGCCATGGTCCCAAACCCTGAATTTTTTTTTTTTTTTGTGACCTCCTTGTTCAAGCGGTTCTCATGCCTCAGCTTCCAAAGCAGCTGGGATTACAGGCACCTGCCACCACGTCCAGCTAATTTTTTGTATTTTTAGTATAGATGGCATTTTGCTATGTTGGCCAGGCTGATTTCAAACTCCCGGCCTCAAGTGATCCACCCACCTCAGCCTCCCAAACTGCTGGAATTACAGGCTGGAGCCCCCACGCGTGGCCCGGAGTTCTGACCATGGAGTGGAGCGACTGCCCCTGCTGCAGGCTCCATGTGGCTGGCCCTGAGCCTAAACAGCTACCGTGGTGGCCCAGGGGGCACCATGAGGAATCTGCTTCCCTGACCCATCAGCGAACCCAGGCCAAGCATTTAGGGGATGCGTCCTAAACTGGGGACCCCATAATGCCAGCAGCTTTGCTTCAGACAGCGGAGAAGGGCATACGGTTTTCACCAACAATAGATCTTGTTTTTTTCTTTAGAGCTGAGATGTTCCTGTGCCAGTTCATTTTCCTTCCGGAATAAATCGTTTCTGTGTGGTAAGCAAGGCTTTCGGGGGTTTTATAGATTTCAGACTAACCCATCTCAAAATGGGAATATCAAGCTGGGGAGCCCCAAGCTGTCTGTGGGTCCAGATTTGCTTATGACAAGAGCTCAGTAGCAAGCTAACAGATGATATTCAAAATCATTATTGTGTCAGGGCAACGAGGGCCCCAGGACACCTCTGTGTGGCGGCTGCCTTCCTTTTCCAGAGGCTGCAGGTGACAAAATCATCAGCCACAACTTTTGTCAACCACTGGAATCATTAAGCAATGTAAGTCTGCTCACTTAATTTCAATAAAACTTCCCTGGAAAGCTGCATTTTTTTTTTTTTTTTTTGCAGACAGAAATGTTTCCTTCCTTCCTTCCTTCCTTCCTTCCTTCCTTCCTTCCTTCCTTCCTTCCTTCCTTCCTTCCTTCCTTTCCTTCCTTCCTTCCTTCCTTCCTGCCTTTCCTTCCTTCCTTCCCTTGCTTCCTTCCTTCCCTTCCTTCCTTCCATCCTTCCTTTATTCCTTCTTTCCTTTTTTCCCTTCTTTCCTTCTTTTTTTCTTTCTTCTTTCTTTTTTGTTTTTTTTCTGTTTTTGAGTCAGAGTCTCACTGTGTCACCCAGGCTGGAGTGCTCCTTGCAACCTCTGCCTCCTGGGTTCAACCAATTCTCAGCCTCCCAGGTAGCTGGGACCACAGGCGCCTGCCACCACGCCCAGCTAATTTTTGTATTTTTAGTAGAGACGGAGTTTCACCACATTCGCCAGGCTGGTCTCTTGGCCAGGCTGACCTCGTGATCCGCCCGCCTCAGCCTCCCAAAGTGTTGGGATTACAGGCGTGAACCACCGCGCCCAGCAGAAGCCTGCATTTCCTTGGGTTCTATCCGTCACCTCTACTGGCAGAGAGGGGATCACACCCTACGGGAAGAGTGGGAGCAACTGAGACACAGAACGTCATCTGTAGAGTGAGGATTGGGGACATCAGAGGGTAGAGGCACTCGTCAGAATGCCGATGACCCACCCCCAATGGGTGGCAAATGGCAGGAGAGTTTGTCCCAGAGGTCCCTACCTGCACCCCACCCAGACTGGAATAATTTCCATGGTACAGAGGGACAGGAAGCACAAAACCACCCAACACTTCAATGTTTACTTCCATGTTGATGAAGAACCAGAGCAGGGCATTGAATTAGCACGAAAGACCCTCTTCCCGCCCTCACTGGGAACACCGCCCAAACCCTGTCTGTCCAGCTTTGGTGTGTTTCTTGTTTTTGTTTTATTTGTCTCTATGTAAACACAGACTAGTACGTATACGCTATCCCATGGCATGGGTCAGCGGAGGCGAGGATAGGGGCGTGCGTGTGTGTTTGTGGTAGGGGCCAGGACAACGGGGAGGCGTGATTCTGTGTGTGTGTGTGTGTGTGTGTGCGCGCGTGTGCACACAGGTTAGGGCCAGGACAATGGGGAGGTGTGATTCTGTGTGTGTGTGTGCATGCACATGGGATAGGGGCCAGGACAATGGGGAGATGTGATTCTGTGTGTGTGTGTGTGCGCGCATGTGCACACGGGTTAGGGCCAGGACAATGGGGAGGTGTGATTCTGTGTGTGTGTGTGTGCACGCACATGGGGTAGGGGCCAGGACAATGGGGAGATGTGATTCTGTGTGTGTGTGTGTGTGCACGCACATGGGGTAGGGGCCAGGACAATGGGGAGATGTGATTCTGTGTGTGTGTGCGCACGTGTGCACACGGATTAGGGCCAGGACAATGGGGAGGTGTGATTGTATGTGTGTGTGTGTGTGTGCGCACATGGGGTAGGAGCCAGGACAATGGGGAGATGTGATTCTGTGTGTGTGTGTGTGTGTGTGCACGCAGGGTAGGGGCCAGGACAATGGGGAGGTGTGATTCTGTGTGTGTGTGTGTATGTGTGTGTGTGTGTGCACATGGGGTAGGGGCCAGGACAATGGGGAGGTGTGATTCTGTGTCTGTGTGTGTGTGTGAATGTGTGTGTGCACTCGGGTTAGGGGCCAGGACAATGGGGAGGTGTGATTCTGTGTGTGTGTGTGTATGTGTGTGTGTGTGTGCACATGGGGTAGGGGCCAGGACAATGGGGAGGTGTGATTCTGTGTCTGTGTGTGTGTGTGAATGTGTGTGTGCACTCGGGTTAGGGGCCAGGACAATGGGGAGGTGTCATTCTGTGTGTGTGTATATGTGTCTGTGTGTGTGTGTGAATGTGTGTGCACTCAGGGTAGGGGCCAGGACAATGGGGAAGTGTGATTCTGTGTGTGTGTGCGTGCACGCGGGTTAGGGGCCAGAACAATGGGGAGGTGTGATTCTGTGTGTGTGTGTGTGTGTGCACATGGGGTAGGGGCCAGGACAATGGGGAGGTGTGATTCTGTGTGTGTGTGTGTGTGTGTGCGTGCACGCGGGTTAGGGGCCAGGACAATGGGGAGGTGTGATTCTGTGTGTGTGTGTGTGTGTGCGCACATGGGGTAGGGGCCAGGACAATGGGGAGGTGTGATTCTGTGTGTGTGTGTGTGTGTGCGCACATGGGGTACGGGCCAGGACAATGGGGAGGTGTGATTCTGTGTGTGTGTGTGTGTGTGTGTGAACGTGGGGTAGGGGCCAGGACAATGGGGAGGTGTGATTCTGTGTGTGTGTGTGTGTGTGTGTGTGTGTGAACGCGGGGTAGGGGCCAGGACAATGGGGAGGTGTGATTCTGTGTGTGTGTATGTGTGTGTGTGTGCACATGGGGTAGGGGCCAGGACAATGGGGAGGTGTGATTCTGTGTGTGTGTGTATGTGTGTGTGTGTGCGCACATGGGGTAGGGGCCAGGACAATGGGGAGGTGTGATTCTGTGTGTGTGTATGTGTGTGTGTGTGTGTGTGCGCACATGGGGTAGGGGCCAGGACAATGGGGAGGTGTGATTCTGTGTGTGTGTGTGTGTGTGTGTGTGTGTGTGTGTGTGTGAACGCGGGGTAGGGGCCAGGACAATGGGGAGGTGTGATTCTTTTTTAGCTCTTCACACCACAGTCCGTGCTGCATTCTTAACATCGCACCATCCAGCATTTGGTGGGTATTCAGGGTCAGACGCTTGCCTCTTTCTGCCTATCTGCAGCCACACTTCACCCAGCATCCTTGGCACTTTCACCCACCCCTGCATCTACTGCCCCTTGTTGCCGGAAACCACGTGGGCTGGTGACTTACATCCTTGCACGCAACAGGACTAACAGTTTAGGCTCACGTCTGTAATCCCAGCACTTTGTGAGGCCTAAGCAGGCAGATCACTTGAGCCCAGTCGTTTGAGACCAGCCTGGGAAACATGGCAAGATCTTGCCTCTACAAATACAAAAAAATAAAAATCATTAAAAAAAATAAAAAAGCTCAAGGTGGTGGGGCACACCTGTACTCCCAGCTATTTCCGAGGCTGACATGGGAGGATTGCTGGAGCCCGGGGTGGAAGGTCGCAGTGAGCCAGGATGGCACCATTGCCCTCCAGCCTGGCCGACAGAGTGAGATTTCATCTCAAAAAAAAAAAAAAAAAAAAAAAGGAGTTTCAGTGTCTTCCTCCCAAAACCCTCTAAGCTGAATGCGCTTTTTCCGGAGAGCTGCGGCAGTGCGGCGTGTGTGGAGGAGGGGATCGGGAGGTACAGAAGGAAAGAGTGACCCCTGCTGGCAAGCGCAGCACTGACAAGCCTAATTTCCTTAAGAGTCCGTGACAGCCCATATGCTGTCAGCTCAACCCCTGAACTCAGTCACTCGCGGCTTCGGGGACTCCTTGTCCAGGAGGAGAAGGAGCAACAGATAAAGCACATTCCGACAGTTCATTTCCATCCTCCCTCTCACACAGCAGCCTCATCCAAGGGATCTTATGCTCATGTCACTCCAGTTTGGGTGAGAGAATGTGCTGCTTGTTCCTGAGAGCCGTTCCCTAAGCACACCTGTGCAGCATCTTTCTACCTTCCTCTCACATAAAGTCACGTCTGTCGCAGCATCACCAAAACTATCGAGAAATTGCCAACAAGTTAAGATGGTCAGTTTTATGGATGTCGGCTGCAGGCATGAGATTTCTGGATTTGAGAAAATGCATATTTTGTTACTCATCACATAAATGACAGCAAGAATGTCACATCTGCACACATCTCCCCCTCTGCTCCAAGGGACACAGGGATGAGGCATGTGTGTCTGTACACAGTCAGTTTCTTACAACGTGACTATTTCATAACAGTGCTTATGGGTCTAAAGGGATAAATGGACAAATATAAACATTGCACAAACATATACAATTCACATATTTCTGATAAGATGAGGGGGTTCTGTGTTACCCAAGCAGAGCAAAGCTTGGATAATAAAGGGCTGGCAGCTGGGAAGCCTGCACTGATGATGGCAGCCATGTCCACCAATAACTGAACTGGCGCGATTCAAAAGAATCAAACAAACTTGCAAGCTTGAGGAGAGAGAGTGTAAAAGGGCACAAAGGTGCTCACCAGGAGAAGGACGGTTTTGGTAGCTCTGGTGTCAGGGGAGGATGCGGGGGAGACGTCGCTCCTGTGAATGTGCGGGATGCAAAGCATGGAGCTGCTGGCCTAGAGCATGAGCCCCACACAGATCACATCGGAGAAGGACAGCAGGGCAGCATTCAGTGACACTCTGGTGTCCCGGCGACGAACAGCAGAACAGTATCCCAGATCTTTTGTCTGTGTAGTGTTTTTGTTACTCCACTTGCCAGTGACATGGGTGAGAACAATGATATTCACCAGCACATGGAGGATCCAGCTGAGGAACAGGGAGCAGTCAGCGTGCTTGAGGGCTTTCCCTTTAGGCTCTCCCCACCTGGAGCTCCTGGGGCTGATGGTGATGGCCTGGAAGATACTCAGGACGCAGGTGCTGCCAATGGCCACTCCCCTGCCCACTCTGTAGATATAAAAAAGAAATTTGCATCCAGAATCATGAAGGAAATGTCTAAACACTAAAGCAGCCACTGCCTGTGGGGCATTCCTCTGTGGAGGAGGGATAAGGTGTTGGCTACAGTGAGGTGTTCGATAATCAAACCTGGAGCTTAATCTGCATCCAGTGATGTAAAAGAACAGATAACGGTAAATAAGAGAGAAATTACCCAGGATTCCAAGTAGCTTATGCTCTGCGATAAGAAGATCATTCCCATGGCCACATCCCCAGCAGCCATTCTGTCAGTTCCCACAGGCTGCTGCTTATCTTCAGAGACACAGGATCCTCCAGGGAATGTGATGCATGAGGGATGTTTGGAAGGCAGCTGGTACTTGGTGGGGGCTGCGATGGGAGGATCCCCTGAGCCCAGGAGACTGAT